TTGAATTTTAATACCTCTAAAGCACAAACTTCATTTAAAAAAAACTTTATGCATGCAATATTATATTGGTGTCATATGAAAGATTATATAAAGAGTGATTTTCAATCATCTTAATCTTTCACTTCTAATATTGCTTTCATATTTCAATTTTAGCAATGACAAAAAATTAAGATAGTTTTGTTTATTATTTTGAAATTCTCAACTAAAATCTCATATTTCGAGCCCGTTTGGTAGCACCAAAATCTGCTGATTTGGTTGATTCTGCTGAAATTTATGAAGTTTTGGCTGCATTGGCTGTTTCTGCTGATTTAAGAAAATATTATTTCAAAAATATATTTTATTAATAACATAAAGAAAAAATTATATGTAAAAATAGCTAAAATGGTCATCTATAGTAACTTCAGCTAATACAGCCAGAAAAGTAACTTCAACCATACTTTTTCGGCTTATTACACAATTCAGCGCGCGAAAGCAAAAGTTACGTATTTGATGAAAAAATTGGCCGATAAGCCTGATAAGCCGAAAAGCAGTGTTGCCAAACGGCCTCTTCATAATCACTCAATCAAATACATGAATTTATTAAAAGTATTTAATAAGCGCTTTTGTAGGTTCCAAACAAATTTACATACTCCGTATTACAATGTCACCTCATTCTTTAGTGAGTGTACTCAACTCCACATCATCATCACCTCACTAATTACTTCACGACACCTCATTGCCACATGAGCTAGATTTTCTTTTTCCTTTTTACTTTATTGTTTCATTTATCGTTTCATATTTCTATCGATCCCACCACCACTATCCCCACCAATCATGGTTGTTTGCAATTTATTTATTTATTTATTTTTATTTTTTTAATTTACACTCATCATTTTCATTTCATCATTTTCATTTATCTCAGTGCCGCAAAGGCTCCCACCTACAGTGGGGTAAGAGGGCACGGATGTACGCAGTCTTACCCATGTACTAAAGCACAGAGAGACTGTTTCCGGATGACGCATAGTGAAAATCACGTCCAAAATTGAATGGACTGACTGCTGCTTCATAACAAAGAAGCGCAGACAGTTTAGTGAGCCATTTTGCTTTATTCTATCATATTCTCAAGTCAAAAAACAATGAATCTTTGGCTCCATTGCAAATGATGGAAGTTTAATTTATACTCCTATATTTATTTATTTATTTATTTATTTATATTAAGAGCACTTTTGGAAAATTTCTAGACACCTTCGGCCGCGGGCCATGACTTCCTCTAGCTGCTTACAGCCGTTGTAAATGCTCTTTATTTTGGGAAAACTTTCATAAAATGCATTCACCTCATGTTCTAACAATAAATTATTAATATACAGTTAAGCGTTGTGTTTTCGATTATTAATCAGATGCCCCTTATATTTTATTGGTCTCACTTTATATCCTCCCGCGCGTTGAAGCTTACCCCATTTTTTTTTTCAAACCCCGGTAAACGAACCACTCATCGAGTGTCAATGTCGGGGAACATTTAGTGTGATTTATTAAATAAAAATTACAACACAGAGAGCGGGAGGGGATTTGACGAAGGCATATAACCTTCTTAAATTACATCAAAGAAATAATTAGAAAGGAGAAAGAGCACAATAATAAATGAATCTACAATAATACTCCCTCTATCCCTTATAACTTAAACATCTTTCCTTTTTTGGTTATCCCAAAAACTTTGCCATTTTTTCATTTTAAATAATGTATTTTTGGTTCTTGTTAATATTTTTCTTTCATCTATACAAAACTCAACCACACAGTTTTTATTTCATTATTTCCAAACTGAGCCACATGGTTTGACCAAATGTTTTAGGGAAATTCTAAATGCAGTCTCTATTTTACTAAACACAGCCCCTAACTAAGCCAGATCTGGCATGTAAAGGGCGCACGAGACGAGACGGTGGTGAGTCCATACACATATCTACGATCAGTAAGTCGCCAGATCTGGAAGTCGAGCTAGCAGTCTCAAGCTGCCTCCACGCTACCATCGTTGATACCGCTGCCATTGCGTTGTTGTGGTTACAAGTCCAGTAAGATGGCCGTACAAAACCCTTGATTTGAGTTTCGAAGTTAAAGGCAAGGGCGAGGAGCGTGGTTTTAGATTGAGTGCACCGAAGAAGAGGAACTTTCAGATTGAGGCTTTTAAGCATCGGCTAGTTATTGTTGTCCTTGAGGTATTAATTAATCTTGGGTTTATTGCATTATTATGAAGTTTTGCAGTGGCCAGGAGATTAGTGTAAGCTCAAATGGAATCAACTATATTCATGGATTCGGGTTTAGTTTTGCCGTGGACTCAATTTAATACAGAGGAGGCCCTCAACGCTTTCGGCCACTGTTTGTGATGGTTTATTTTCATTTTTTTTTGTTTTTTTTAAATATTTTGTATTTGACTTATTTTCACTGTGTGATTGATTGAAAATAGAAATCCATGAATGTTAAAGAATATTAAAGGCTACATACTTGTTAATTTGAGAGGGCTGCAAATGTTTGTATCTTGGAATTGATGGTGAGAGACTAGATGTAGGCACTACAGGAAAACTGCCTCTAAGTACCTCTCATACTACGTACTGGTTTGTTCTCTGAATGAAATGCATATGGACTTTCTCTATTTGCATTTTGCAGTCACGGTATGTGATTTATTTTACAACCAACCAAATAGGACATTCTTTTTTAAAGGTCTAATTCATTACATGGAGAAGTACTGTTAAGTACTGCCAGGTATGTGTTAAGGACTGAGGATGTTGTTAGGTGGACTGATTTCAGTTGAGACCTGAGTAGGCCAGATCAGACTTTGACAATAGTAATATATACACATAACATCTAATACACCAGAAAATTTTAGTCCAATTGAATGAGTTTATATTTAGTACTAAAAAGTGATATTTTAGAATAAGGTCCACTTTTATATGAGGCTTTCAAAATTTAACTATTTAGTTCTGCTATCTGGATTATACGTAGTATGTGAAAGCCTGTGTGATTTCATCTAGGCAGTAGTACGTCTAATTCTATGACGGATTAATTGGTTAGTTTTTTACATGTACTTTTTTAATTTGATAATTTACCACTTACTTTGTTATTCATTTGTCACACTAATAATTGCTAGCTTTTATATATATAAACGGGGCCTTAAGATTAATTAGGCGGCCCTACCTGTTAAATTGCTAGTGATAGTACATTTTAAAAGGATTAGGAAAAATTGAAAATTATTTCCAATTATTGTCGGTCCGTCACTAATAATCTCAACTATCGATTATTCATGGGTGATCCCAACTATAGAGACCATTTTCCAAAAATGGTCCCTAACATGTTACAACCTGATGATATAACAGGTCATTTTTAAATTTGAACTATGTTTAAGCTTTAAATCATCCCAACTATATATAGTTGACCTTCTTTATTAATCCCAACTATCAATTCTCAATTTTTTGAAAATGTAAAACTATTTTTATAAATTTCCAAACTAAATATTTTTAAGCAAGAAAAATTAATTACGAATACTCTACAAATCTACCGAAATTAAATAATAAAAAATAGTCATTTTGTCCTTTCACTTATAAAATTTCATTTTGTCCTATTTCCAATTTGTTTGTCACAATTATGATACCAATTTATGATTATTTTCTTTTATTCAAATTCACATTTTCTATTTTCAAAAAGTAAATTGTGATTAAATTTTTTACAATTTATATTTTTATTCTAGCTTGATCTAAAAATCTATTTTTTTTATTTATTCCATTTTAGTGTTTGTAATTTCTACCTATGTAAAAATATGAATTGCTTGGAATGAGGATAAAAAATATTTACCAAAAGTCCACACTTTTTCTACCTACCAAAATAGTTGGGATTATTATTCCATTTTGATACACTTTTTCTACATGTTTACAATTTCCATTATATCACTTAAAATTATAATATTAATACATTTTCATTAAATATAGTCAAAACCTCCAAAACCTATACCCCCAATCACTAAAATTAAATGATAAACTATATGATATAATTTATAAAATATAATAGTATAAAAAAAAGAAAATAAAAAAAAAACTAGAAATACTAAAATGAAAAAATAGAACATTTAGGTTTTTAGAATTAAGATAGCATAAAATGAATAAATAAATAAATAAATAAATAAATAAATAAATAAATAAATAAATAAATAAATAAATAAATAAATAAATAAATAAATAAATAAATAAATAAATAAATAAATAAATAAATAAATAAATAAATAAATAAATAAATAAATAAATAAATAAATAAATAAATAAATAAATAAATAAATAAATAAATAAATAAATAAATAAATAAATAAATAAATAAATAAATAAATAAATAAATAAATAAATAAATAAATAAATAAATAAAATTCCAATGATTATTTACTTTTTGAAAATCGTGTAAATTTGAATAAAGGAAAATAATAGAAAATCATAAATTGGTAACACAACTGAAAACAAACTTGAAAAAAAGGAAAAACAATTAGTGGAATTAAATTAAAAAATGGTAAAAAATATTCTATTTAACTTCGGTACATTTGTATAATTTTTTAAATTGTTTATACATGCTTAAAATTATTTAGTTTGGAAATTTATAAAAATATGTTTACTTCAAAAAATTGAGAGTTGATATTTTTGTATCATATATGTTTATAAAGAAAGAAGTGAATAAATTTTTGAAACGCAATAGAAAGTGAGATGGTAATAGGAGATAACGGTAAAACAATGATAGTCATATTTATGAATTTTATCATTATTTTAGTTTTATTTAGAGAATTTTCTCTTTTAGCTAGCCATCATTGACTTAACCAGTGATGATAAATTTCAATCAATTATTTTAATTAGTATATTCTATTAAAATTAATAAATTTGATACTTTAATGATATACTTTTAAGAAAGTATACTTTGATACAATCGCATATTTGCCATATTATAAATACTTTTATATATATGGATATATAACTCTTCAAAGTTTAGCTAGAAAAATCAAACGAAGACCAATTAAAAGGGAAAAGAGTAATTAATAGTGTTACGTATACGTACATTAGGACAATAAACAATCTTCCCAGAAGAGCCTATCCCTCTCCTTTTCACTAATCATCTCCAAATTACAAACCTTTGTTTTTCTGGTCGGTTTTGCCCCCCTAACTCCCAACGGCCAGATCTTTTGCCCAATCTTCATGCTCAACACCCACCGTTGATTTACTTCGTCCTCGTCCTCATCATTGTCATCCTCAGGGGCGGATCCAGGATTTCATGTTGGGCTGGGCTGAAACACTTAAATAATAATACATTGAAAATTTTCAAAATAAACAAAAAATCAAATACTTCGTATAAGAGTTATCCATTAAATTTGTTCTCAACGAGGCTTTCAAACAAAAGGAACTCATCAACAATAGAGTCTACATCCATACTAAGAGTAATGTCTTTTTCAGTATAAAGTCATCATCCATTTTGTTGAGGAGTGCTGCCTTTAGAAGTTTCATGGCATAAAACGAGTGTTCTAATTTTGCAAAAGAACAGTAAGTTCAATAAAAGGAAAATCAATCTACTCATCATAACATATGAATCAGATTTTCTGCTCTTAACCAACTCCTCACATAATTCAACAAATGTAGATACTAAAACTTTGTACATGAATACATCATGAACATAGTGTTGCAGCTCGAATTCCAAAGCATGAATGTCCTGACTACTAAAATTTTCGGGATAGAAATTCCTTGCAAGAGTACAAATAACATCGACATTGGATGACCCATATAAATTTTTGGGATCCAATGAAGCACTCAAAGAAAGGAGTTTTACTGATTTATCATTAAATCGGGCCCTTAACTCCATCAATACAAAGTCTATTGCCTCATTGAAAACACCAAAGTGATAATGATGTTCAACTGTAGTTTCTTTCTGCAATGACCAACCGTATATTCAAAATTCAACTTCGGTACATGAATTGCATGTTTTGAGCAAAACTCCTTTACTTTTTCAAGAAAGCCTTCCCATCCATTTTTTGTCAATTCCTCTAGAATGATCGGTTGTGTAATGGAAAAATGTCTCTCATGGCTAACAAGATATCAAATAAAAAAATTCGAAGGCCTTGACAGAATTCATTATTTCCATAACCAAGCATTCCAGCCCAGTTGATTGTGAGGTTACCGTGTCTAGTTGGGGGTCTCGAGTTCGAAATCCGCTAGGCACACAAGGGTGCGAAACTCAACAGAGTGAGTTTTAGCCCTGATTACTCCAGGCTCCCCCAGCCCCCCTTCCCCCAGACCCCCCTGGAGTAAAAAAAAAGTAAAGGATCACAAATTCAAAACATGAAAAGTGTTTATGTACACTACGAACTTATGCCCAAGAACTCACTTTTGGGCAATGTTTTTGAAGATACTCAAGCACTTTAAAAGTTATTGTGAACATGTCAATAAAGTCCTTATATGTATATACTAAGTGCCAATGATTAAGTATGAGGGTGATGTGTATAACATTTAGATTAGATTTTTAGATGTTAAGATTTTGTATTATGGGCTGGGCTGAGAAATTGGACTGGGCTATAGAAAAATTTGGGATGGGCTGGATGCAATTTTTTAAACATAATACCTTAAAAATAATATTTTTTTTTTTACTTTGCCCTGGGCTTCAGCCCACCATAGCCCTAACATAGATCCTCCCCTGGTCATCCTTGTTGCAGATGTTATAATCATTGTAACCTTTTTCCTCGTACCTCAAACAACTGGAAATAGGATTAATAAGCTCTTGATCAGGGCAATCGTCGCTGCGGTGGTCTTCGTCGTCAACCTCCCCGATAATGCTACGGCCGCTACATGACTGCGCATCGTCGTCCTCAACCACCACCGAATCCTGGTGTAGAACCGAAGACTCGACATCCGATGAATCTCCGGTGACCTCGAATAGGTAGGAACGGGACAGATCGACGCCGTTTCCGTTGAAACACGCGTTCATCATTATCCGCTGCCGGTTTAGTTGGGAGTGTACGTTTCATAAAATCGGATCGAGCATATCGCGTATACTTCGTATATGTGATGATATGTATATATATAGGGAGTATATGAAGAAATACTGATTCCGTAAGATCTATTGAGTTTTGCGAAAAATGAAAACCTTTTCAATTAGAATGGAATAAATCATACTTCGTATTTTAATGAATTATTTTTATAATTTATATAGAAATTGCTCTAGACAGGACTATAGAAAACCTAAACTGCACAAATAGGACTGCTACATTTTAAACCCCCTAAAATAGGATTAAACATTGATTTCTACATACCATAAATACTCCTAAGGGTATTAATTCATAATGAAATGTTTTAATTCATAATAAAATCTTAATAAATAAAAAATCGTAAAAAATATTAATAAATCGTAAAAAAATACTCCGGTATAAAATAAAAAATTTAAATAATTTTTTTTCTTAATTTTTCTTAAATTAATAAAAAATAGTAAAAAACCATTAAAAAATGGATACCTTTTCCACCGCCTCCAAGCACCACCACATCCGGTTGTTGGAAATTTTGTCATCTTTTTGTAAAAAGTGCTATTATTTCCCGAAAATGGTAAGAAAGTGGCATTATTACTCTTCATAATGCCAAAATTCTCATTGAAATCTGTCATTATTATTATGTCATTGTTAAACATGTTGGCAAATTTCCAATCGGTGATGGGAGCTGGGGTGTTGGGGTGGCAGAGGTGGCGGCGTATGTCTTTTATTATTTTTAATTTTTTAGTTTTTTAATTTATTTTTTAAATTTTTTATTTTTTAAATATGTCATAAATTTTTTATTATTTTTCTACGTTTTTTTATTATTTTTTACGATTTTTTATCTTATTATTAATTAAGACATTTTAAAAGGTACAAGGGTTATATTATACTCCGTATGAGGGATTGGGAAAGGCACAAGGGTTATATTATAGCATAGACCTGTGTGTACAAATTATAGTACAATATTATTCAAAATACCACGTGTGTGCACGGGTATAAAGTCTATCATCGTTTGAATTGATTGAATCACCATGATTTACAATCTCCCATATGTTTGGTCAGATCGGGGTGTGGTGATCTTTGGGGTTGGAGAGTCAACCTTTTGGACAAATATTCAAAATACCCATCATCCCATGTCACATGTTATATACTTAATACTTGTGCGTCTGTTCAAAATGTTATATAGTGCATAAGAAATGTTTTTTCCATACTTTAACAACTTTCATTTTTTATTTATGTGCAAATGTAGAACACCTATTCGTATGTGCAGGGCCGTAGACTAGGGCGTGCAAGAAGTTGGGCTCAAAGTTTTAAATATAATCTACATAATATACAAAATCTCTTTTTATTTGATTGAAGATTCCTATTTTAGTTTTTTTAAATACAAACATTAAATAGTAATATTTATATGTAATTAAAATGCAATTATTAATTACAATTGTGAAATTAATTTATTACATAAGGCATAGTTGTAGTAATTACCACAAAGTCCTCTTACAGTTTGGGACGAGCTTACGTATGCGTGTACGTCCACATAATACAAAATGATTATATTTGACTTATGTAAGAGTTTTGTATTTCACTTTTCAAACTTGTTAAATGACATTTGATAATTAATGTGCTCCACCTAGAAACCGCGTCGACCACCATGACTTGTCGATGGTACGATTCTTCCTTTTCTAGGAGGTCTACCTCTTTTTAGCACACCTCTGCGCATGCGTGTAAGTCAGGGGCATAGCCAGAATGGATCGTTTGGGTGACTCGATACAAAGATTTTTTCAGATAAATTTCTACACATAAAATATAAATTAAAATACAATGATTTTTCAAATTTGGGGTGGGTCAGGGCCCGGTTGCTCCACCCCCCGCACATCTCCGCCCTAATGTAAGTCAACCTCTTAGCTTGGTGATCTACTCCTTCAATCTTGGATGTTAAACACACAAGGTTACACTTAGAAGTTGTCACGTTCATCCGATCTGAATATTTTACATTTGAACTTTTAAAGATATAATTTAAACTTTTCAAATTTGATTTGAATCTTTTCTTATATAACTTGATGTGATTTTTTCTATTCTTATTGATTGTTCATTATTATTAAATTATTGTTGTTATTATTATAACAATTATTATTATCCTTATGACTAATTATAACTATAAATATGACTAATAATTATAATTACAGTTATAGATACAACTATAATTATAATTATAACTATAGTTAATATGTTTATATTACCATTATCGTTATCATTATTTTTGTAATTATGATTATCGTTATTATAAGTGTTATCAGTAAAATTATATGACGTAGTGTTACTATTGTTATTAAATTATACCATCATCCGTTCTTTAATAGTTCAACAGTTTCACTTTCACATTTGTCAACGCAGAATTTTGACTGTAATTATAATAATTATGTATTAGTAAACATTATAAAAAGTTAATATTTTGAAAATTCACATTAATAGAAATTTAATAGCATTTTATACACAATGATTTGATTATATATATTAGTAGAAAATCATGATCAAAGTAAGGTGTATGAATAGTGTAAAAATTCAATGTTGCAATTATTAGCGAACAAAAGAAGTACATACCAACAACCTACATTTGCATAATAACAGTAACATACAATTATTAATAACAATAACAACTGACTAATAATAATACGGTGTACTAATATTATTAGTAATAATAACAATATATAGCATATGATGTTTTATTAATTACTAGTGACATACAAATAATGATAGTACGGAGTAATATTTATACTAAAAGCATTCATAATTAATTATTATGGAAGCAACATACAATAACAACATAATATTAATAATAATAATAATAATAATATAGTGTAACATTTTTTTTAATATTAATAGCTATCAAGAACTTATGCTTATTTTTATTTTTATAATAACATACAAATCATAATATATACTTGTTGGGATATTAGGTCCAGGCCCAATATCCCTAGGCCCAAATCCGGGAAGAAGCAGCACGCCCAAAGAACTCCCGAACGGCATTCGGGATAAAACTTATACTTGGAACATTCTGGGAAACAATTATGCCAAAGTATCAAGGCCCAAATGTCGATCGGCGTTCGGGATACTCCGGGTAGAAATTATCACTTATGGCGGGGTCCCACACACCGAACACCTTGCCCGAACGGGCGGTCAGCAAGTGGAGGCCGCATTTAATGCTGGATCATGACAGCTGCAAGTGGGGGCATGAGTGCTTACATGGCAGAGGTGATAGCCTACCAGATTCGGCCACGTATCCACCTTACCCATCCCCATTATAGTATAAATACCCCAGTTTAAATCATTGTAAAGGGTTAGCATTTTAATACTCAGAGCTTAGCAATAGATTTACATCTCCCATCCTTGTAATCTCATATTCATCTACCGTTCGGGTAGTTTCAGTGTAATTGCTTAATTACAGAATATAAGTAAGTTCTTGAGTTGAATATTATCTCACTATTTTATATTTTATACACATTTCAACCCTACCCAATATCCCTACAATATCCAAGGCTTGTGTTGGGCTTTCGGATCTTCGGGAAGAAAACCTCAACATTGGCGCCGTCTGTGGGATTCTCCCCCTTGGCCTTCTCAATTTTCAGGCCAGCAGCTTCGGCGACCTTCACCTTGGCACGCAGATCACGGATTTCCCGATCGCGTCGTTGAAGCCTCTGCTCCAGTTCAGCCAGCTCTTCCCTGGCCTTGTCACCCTTGTTGGCTCGATCTTGGAGATCTGCAGCCATTTTCCTAGCAGCAGCCAAAAGGGTTTGGCTCTCATCCAGCTCCTGATGAAGGAGGGTCATCTCCCGTTCAGCAGCTAGGAAGGCCCGGTGGTAATATGTACCGACCTGTGGAAGAAAGAAACAGCAATAAGGACAAGTCCAGAACAATATCAAAAATAAAAAGAATGGACTATACAGTCAAAGGCATACCTTAAGGGACTCGGCGTGGCCTGCTTCAAATAGGTCGGACCAGTGAGTCAGGTTGGTGAAACCCTCACCAGCCTTCAGAGAAGTACTGCACCACACGGATGATGCAGTCTGCCCGAACAGCGTCCGGCATTCGGCTCGGGGGCCCATGGCGGAAAACTCCACCGTCAACCGATCGGGGATTGGGAGACTATCTGAAGCAACACCTCCCCTGTTGCCCAGCTTCCTTGAAGGGGAGGGGACCGTAAGCATCCTTTCCACAGAAGGATCCGTCAGATCAATGACCTGATCGATCGGGACAAAGGCGCCACTGCTTTCGATTCTCGGCCGCTTGTTTACTGGCCCAGATTCCCGGCCAGCGAAAGAACCTGACTGAATAGCCTTCTCCTTTCCCTTGCTAACTATGGCGGTGGAGGAAGGAGTAGGAGCAGGACGCTTTATGGAAACGGGGGGAATCACACCTACAGGAAAGAACGAAGAAAAATGAACAAGAGATTGAAAAATATACCGAACGAACAAAGTAAGGGAAGAATCATACTGATGCCAGCAGCTAGCATCTTAGCGGGAGTCAAGAAAGACCGTAGGTTCTTGGAACCGGCCAGACGGAGCCTTTCGTACTGGCAGAGAATAGCTGCATCCACCCTTGGGGAGGCATCCTGAACGGGGTAGGTGTTCCACCGATCAGGGAAAGGAAGCGGCGACCCCACGTGTACGAACACAAATCTTTCCTCCCATTTTTCCGGAGGGGTGGGGTTGTCGGTGAAGAGCGAACGGCCAGGACGGGCGACAAGCCTCAGGTACCCGGTGGTCCAATAGGGCTGGACGCCGTAGCAGTGCAAAAAGAGATCGGCGCTGGGGGCAATCCCCAACTCGTGGCACCAGACAATGAACCCATTTAGGATCCTGTAGGTGCTAGGCACGAACTGTGTCGGCAGTACTGACACCCGGCGGAGGAACTCCACAACGAACGGGTGCAGAGGGAACCGCAAACCGGCGATCAGGGCGTCCATATGGACTAACACACATCCCGGACGGTGTCGCATGGGATGTTTGATGAATCCCGCACTG